CTAAACAGCTCGAAAACTCAGCTCACCTGGGACTCAGGCAAGACGAGCTCAGGTGCCATTGTCCAGTCTTTGGCATTTGTCTGCTCAGGAAAGGCTAGGATCTGGTGAGCAGGCCCAACTGTGGGTGGAAAAGAGCCATAGGAAACTTCTCTCACGTCTACGAACATCCTGAGGGCATTTCTAAAATATAGACGATCCTGATTCTTTCAGTAGAGATGGGACTCCTTTAAGTGTGATACCTCCAAGTAGCCTTCTCAATGCTAGTAAGAACCAAGTATCTACTAGCCCCTAGAACAGTTTCCCGAGTTCCCATGAATGAAATTAATAAAAGAAAAACCCTTTTTATTATCTTCGCATGACATAAGTTGTTTTGAGTTAGATAAAAATTAAACATTTTGAAAATGAAGTACTCAGGGACTCCAGTGTACAATAAATGTAGTTTTCAAAAATCATTTATTATTTCTTTCCTGCTACAAAATTGTTTATATTCTGCTACTGAGAGCTCATTTCTGATCCCAACTCCAGTATTTTATGAGGATGAAGTGCCCCCAATTCTTTCCACTTTTCTAAGGAACATTTTATGATGTAATTACCACAGCATTGTGGTTTGGGTATTTCTGTACCTTAGGCCAACCCCCACTTTCACCCACAGCTGGTCTATTCTAACACCACTTTCAGGGAGGCGGGTGCATCATAATTGCTAGCGTCACTGGATTTGTAGATCCACAGCACTGGGCCTCCAGAAAAAGCACACAATGTTCTAGCAGAACAAACTATGGTCACAGCTCCCAGCAGAAAGAAATTACCATGAAGCTCCTTACCCCTCTCAAACACAGGCTCAGTCTCTTTATGAGTATTTCTGCTCAGCTGTTCTTGTACGCCCTGGTATGTATTCCAAAATTCTTCATCCTGGGACATGCCCACTGGCTGGGGCTCTGCTGGCTTCAGTTTGAAGCCTCGGGCCTCTGCTGTTTCTCCCAAGAGCACTGCTTCCTTTCTCAGCTCATGGGTTGCAACCTAGAAATAATTTCCATCCTTGTTACCACAGAACTTACTTTAGTTTTGGGGGCTGGTGGTAGATGGAGGGAAAATTGTAGAGCCCAGATTGTGGGAAGTGTGAAGGAAAGAAAATGACAGAAGGACAAAGATATTGGGCCACCAATTTTCCATAAAGAACTATCCATAAAATCTAGGAAAAAAGGTGTGGCTACTACCAGCCCTCCAATACAGTAGCCCCCACCCCTCGGCACAGACCCCAGCTCAGACCATGAGTAGGGTTACGTAAGCCACTTGCTCACACACTGCCTTGACAGCCTTTCTCTCCTCACTTAGATTCCTACTGCAGTGGTTTCTTCTTCTATTTTTCTCAAAAAATTAAGAAATTGACTAAAAAGCACTCTCTTGACAACCACATTTTCCCAAAGGCCAGGAAAGGTTTTCAGAGAGTGAGGATGAAATGGAAAAGAAAAGCGGAGGAGAGTCTGATTTCAACCTCCTTCCAAATGATCTTGACACCAACCATATGCCTTGCCCTGAAGCCAGGTGATATGCTGCCACATGCCAAGTGGCATACCCTGGATTCCCACTCAGTAGCAGAGGCAAGGACCAACCACTGAAGGTGGGCAGTGGAGGCTCTTGTCTAACTATGGTATGAAAGACACTAACTCTCAGCATTTTTCTTCTCTCAGCCACTTATTGTGACTTCCAAATCTTTCCCTTTTTTTTTTCCTCTGCAATCCTCATTTGGATTCTCCTTTTTACTATCCTCTCCTTTGATCTCTACATGTCCTCAATTTTTCTGGATCTGCACCTTCCTCATCAACTCTCCCGGGCCAAGCCATCCTGGGCTTATTACTCTCATACATCCTGGCTCCAAATAGGGCAAAACTTTTTCTCTAAGACGAAGGAAGCCTCTGCCAGGATCACCTAAACCTGTGGAATGACTATTGCTTCGGGTCTGTAGTTTCAGGTCTTGCCTTAGATAGCCTTAAGGTCACTGACCTATTTCATGTTATTTCTCAATTAACTGCCCCCACCCTCCATATATCCATCTTCATCCTATTTCATTGAATGTATCAGGAATCTTTCTTCTCACCCCATTCCTTGTTTGACTAGAGTCACTCTGCAAGTGGTCTACCAGGGCCACAGCCTCCTCAATGCTTTGTAGATGGTGTTTCTTTATCCGGGTCTGGGTATCCTTCGGCAGAATGGTCAGGAATTGCTCTAGCACCAGCAGTTCCAAGATCTGCTCTTTTGAGTGTATCTCTGGCCTCAGCCACCGACGGCATAATTCTTGAAGTTGACCAACTGCCTCACGGGGTCCAGCAGCTTCATGATAGTGGAAGCTCCGGAAGTGCTGGCGAGAGCTCTCAGAAATGAGATTGTCCTTTTGTGCCATACATTTCTTACTCTGACTGGAGCTCTCTGTCACAGGTCCTTTGGTCTCCCACAGAGCCCTGACCTGAGGGTTCAGATACTCAGTCACCTTCAGGTCTACTGTCATCATTCTGCTTGGAACAGTTCGCTGTGGTGGACACACCACCAGTACCACCTCTGACAACTCAGTCTTGTCTGGAACAAAATCAATAAAAGGATCTTCTTCCTAAGGCACTGAGGGCAGAAAAAAAAAAGTGCATGTCAATAAGAAGGTCACATGAACTTTACAACTTTCTAGTTTTTATGAGAGAAAAATGAACAGCAAACATCATGCCTTGCTTTCCCTTTAGAAACAACTGCCAGGCCCTCTGATTCTCTCCTTTTCTTTATATTATTCATTGGAGACAAATGCCAACTGATGACTTTGCCTCAAGAAAACAATAATAAAACAAGAAAGGTTGGTGGGTAAGAAAATTGGCACCCACTGGCTGCAAGGGGTTTGGGGATTATCCAAAGATTTCATTTATGAATTTCTATCCCATCTTCTCCATGTCAACGGCAGATAAGAACACTCTGAGTTTCTTAAATTTTAACATGTCATCCTAGACTTCTGCTTTCAAAAGAGGATGCAACTTCTATGACCTTTCATCTTCCTATGATAGAAGCCTTCACTTTGTGGAACATTTGCGATTCTCCTATTCTTGTATGAATACTGGCAAGAGAGCTGAAACAGTGAGACCAGAGTAGAAGAAATAATTAGGAAAAAAGTAGCCTTTTTTTTTTTTTTTCATAAAGTATCCCCCAATTAAGTACCAGACGCCCAACATTCTTCTTTGGCACTTCTTTGCAAGATGTATAAAGGGCTCTATGCAGAAGATTTATACTTGTATTTTTAAATTTATTTGACCTAGGAAAAATTACACCCGACCTTTCCTTATAAAATGTTTATCCAAATATCAAGTCGCAGAAAAGAAGAGAATGGCAGTTGGTGATGATTAGGTGACCCTTTTGCTGACTTTACATTTCTTTAAGGATCTATTAGACCTCTCTAAGCGAGGCTGAGGAGAGCCTCCTGCGTCTCACTCTCCCCGAAGTGATGATGCAGGAGAACCGGCATGGAGATTCTGTCCGGGATGCCATGGTATTCACAAATGGCTGGCTCTTTGCTGCCCATCCCGGCTCAGGATGCACGGGGTCGCGACCTATGATTTTGCATCAGCAAAAGCTGATCTGTCTGATGCTGAACTGCGGTTCTCCCGCGGTCACATCAGCCCGCAAAGGAAACGCCAGGGGAGGCGAGAAGAGGGACATGACTACCTGCTCCGCGTCTAGACGGCAGATAAGCGCCCCTAAGCGTTGAGCAAGCGGCAGTGTCCGAGTGGGCTCCAGCCGCAGGCCAGGAAAAGGTAGCCTCCGTAGCCTCACGGCCGGCCTTGCTCTAGACAGTCGCGCCGCAGGCTTCGGCCGCCCGGCTACAAAAAATGGCTGCCTCGCCTCCAAACACCTTGCGGCAGCGCCGAGCTGCCGCCAGCGGCTCTCTGGGAGCTCTCCGGAGCCGACGCCGAAAGGGAGCCGCTTCTTGGTTACCTCGACAGCTGGTTGTGGAAGCCGCTCTCGCGCGCGCTCAACTGCAAGTCGCTGTACTTCGAATCGCTGCTTAACGGCCGCAGCTTTCAGCGTGGCGCCAGTCGGGACGGGAGGTAAAGGGGCGCAGGCCCAGCACCACCAAAACCCTCCGAACCCCTCCCCCTACTGGTGGGGTTCCTACGCATTTGTCTGAGGCTCCCCCCCGCCCGCCGCCGCACTGCTACCGGAAGCGGAAGTGGAGTACTTCCGGGGGGCTCCGTGCAGTCCTGCGGTCCAACTGCCGCGGCTTCAGGCTTCGCGGGAGAAACTGGCGTACTGCCTGATTCGGCCGTGGGTCCCGAAAGAGTTAATGCCAAAGAGTCTACAGGCCGCAGAGCCTAGAAGGGTCCTGAGCGCCTCTTTGCCGGCGTTTGTCGCCGTCTCGCGGTCTGGATCGTGAGACGTTAGGCATCCGGGTGGTTCCTGCGTAGTCTTTGAGCGGCGGGCGGCCTGGTAATAGGGGGTCCCGCCGGTAAGGGTCACCCCTTCGCGCTCTCGGTAATCTTGGCTTTCCTGCAGCCCAGCCGGACGAGCCATCGTCCCGGGGTTCGTCTCAGTCTCCTCGAGGAGGAGGCCGGCTTGTCTCGCTCAGGATCAACGGCCTTGAGTAATCTGTACCCTTTTCTGGGCCGCGCTTTCCTCACAACGATTTTGTTTTTTCTTGTGAGGTAGGTTTTAACCTGTGAGATAGGTTACATTTATAGTTCTCCATGACAGAGAAATTGAAAGCTAAGAAGTGACTTGCTCAGAGTCATATAATTTACCAATGGTAGCTTCTAGACTGGGAATTTAGGCTCCCAGTTTTCCTTTTTCCACTGCAGCATGCTTCTTGGAGAATGGGAACCTTTTCATCTCGTATCTCCTGCAGTGTCTGGCGAGGTACATATTTACTGAATCATATTTAAAGGAATCTTGATTATTTCGGTTTGTTAATGTTCCAGTTATCAGTGTTTTCGTAGTGTCAGCCTCTACCAGTCAAGGGATTATTAAGTCTACTAGGTGTAGCCGGTGTTAGTCAGCAGGACAATGCCTTTGAATTGAGAAATCTGGCAAAGGACCAAGGCGATTTCATGGCTATCAGTAACACAGGGTAGGAAAAGGTAGGGCATAATCTGAAAGCTGCAGAAAGTCCAAGGAAATGGAAGTTGATTTTCGGTTGGGGAAAATCATAAAAGACCTTGAGAGATTTGCCCGCAGCAGGGTGTGGGCAGAAGAAAAAGTAAGAGCAAAGCCTTGACAAGCTGGGAAGAGTACAGTGACATCTTTAGTATATTTTTACTAAGTGTAATTGGGCTACATTTAGGGAAAGTTAGAAAATAAGTTCATGTGGATCTAAGTGCTTTGAACGGAAGTGAAGAGATTGCACTTAATAAAGTACATCCTGGAACATCATTTGAGGGTTTTTGACAGATCTTCTTTCCAGGGCAGTTCATCTAGAGGTAAGTTTAAGGTGGAAATGAAAAAGAGACCATTAACAGCCATTATACTATTTTTGTTTTTAGATAGAATGATGTTACACTCCTTTGATGCATAGTTCTTGATCTTTTTTGAGTGAGAGAAAAGGATAAAAGAAGAGATAACAAGAAGCATCTGCCTAAGCCACTTGCATGTATTTTAAAGTATGTTCATTTCCTTAGAATCTCAGTCAGGTTGGAACTTACTTTCTCCAAGTCATTATAGTTTCTAGCCTCTCAGAACTAGTGGACATTAATGCTCTTAGCATTGAGATCATGATCTGGCCCAAAGCCGAGCATATAATTGGAACTTATTAAATTGAATAAATGAAATTTTGCCACCAGTGCCCTCGGATGTCATTGGCAGGCCTGATTCATAACATGAGTTGGGAGTTGGTTAGGGAAGATGGGCAGAAGAAAGTGTGAGAAGAGACCCTGTGAAAGGAAGAAGAGGAAGCGAGTCACAAAATGGTGAAGTGAGTGAGGGCCACTGATGATTTTCATTGAAATTTGGTGTCATTGTTCATAACTCTTGCTGTGGAGCCTGTAAAAGTCCCCTAAGTTTTTCCTTTTGATTTCACCTTCCTCTTCCTGGGCACCGTATGAGAAATGATGAATGCACAGATGGGAAGCAATGAAAACAAATACATGGAATTTATTCTGAGACATCACATAACTGCTGTAGTGGGCTGAATGTTTTTGCTGGGTGACTGGCTGGACTTGATGGTGCTGCTATTGGCTGACAAATACTTTTATTCTTCTTTTTCCATTTATAATAGTTATTATTTAGTATTGCCTTAGTTATAGCTGCCTCTTTCACAAAGTTGCTTGATCTTAGCCTGTCACTGGCTCCACATCCTATTATCTGTGATATTTTTTCATGATACCCTTAGTGCTCCATAAAGCAGTTAGTTCTTGCAACAAATGTTAGAGGAAAACTAATTGAATGGATTCTTCTGGGTTCCTTTAGATAAGAGGCTTGTGAGAATTCTATATAGTTGAGGAACAAATGAAAGCAGTCAAGCTCTGCCCTAAAGGAGGGGAGAAAAACTGAAATACTAATCATTTTCCTCATTTCTGACATAGTGTTTTTTTTCTTCATAGCACTTAGAATGGAAGAAAGTGGCAGTTTTTGTTACTTCCTATGAAATTGTATATCTGGAATGAGAACCATGAAATTAATCTAGAGTAGAACATGGAATGGAATTGGGCAGCACCAGGAGGACCTGAAAGGAATATTTGAGGGAGCTGAGATACAGAAGAGTTTGCCAACAGAAGGATTTATGGGAACAATTGATCAGAAACACCAGTAGAGAAACTTTTTGAATTTCTACAAGCACTGGAAAATTTGAGTCTTGGTTCAAATTAAATACAATCCATACTGAAGAGAAACCAAATAAAGTCTCACATATAAAATTGTGTTATTTAAAACCCTAATGTAAATTTAGGAAAACAAAAGGAAAGATCTTTTAAAATTTTTTATTTATCATAAAATATTTGTAAAACTTTTGGACTCACCTCTAAGAATTGCTAATATTTCAAATATGGAACAATTTCAGTGAAAAAACAATAACACTTGAGAATACACCAGACATACACAAGGAAGATCTGAAAGTGGAAGAGTGCCACTAACAAATTATTTACATACTTAACAGATTACCTTGGTTAACAAGTTAAAGCTAGTCCTTGAGAATGCTATATTGAATATATTAAAAGTTGGATTTCATTCATATGGACAACAGAAACTACTTTCTTCTTCATGTAAAGATACTATACAACTGTTACCAAATTCCAGTTCTCCAGACAGCCCAGTGTCAGGGTAGCTTGGAGTTTTTATCTAGCTGTATGGACTGCTGCCTGGCGAACATTAATACAGAGCAATATGAGCACCATTTTCTTTTCTGGCAGTGAAATAAAATCGGGTCCTTTGGAAAGAGAAGCCTCACTGCAGCTCTGCTACACAGGATTACTCTGTACTTGCCTTTGATGCTTTCATACTCCCATCTTTACACAAGCACTGCTTTTATTGAGATTTTTCTCATCTGGGTCTGTTCTTGTGGGCACATCTTTCTTTGTGTCTTTTCCTGTGTTCACTTACAGAGAGTATGCAGGTATTCTTGTTCCCAACTGGTGCCGCTATATCTATCAAGGGAGAGGAAGAGCAGGGGGGTTCTAAAAACTGATCATCACGTCTTGCAGGAGCAACAGCTAGAGAAGACTTTGCCAGGGGCAGTTTCTGAGTTCATAAGACCTTTACCTCTAGACTAGCACTTTGGTCTTGAGCCTTATCCTTTTTAGCCCATTATCCTTCAGTACAAATGCCTGTGCCCTTGGGGCTCTGAGCTAGTTTGGGTTTTTTTTGGTTTTGTCTTTAAATTTTTTTCCAATTCAGTAAGGCTTTTCCTTTTTCTGTTGGTTGTTTGAACCCAAATTCAGTATGAATAAGAGAGGGAAATATACAACATTGAATTTGGAGGAGAAAATGAAGGTTCTCAGTAGGATTGAAGCTGGACGATCTCTTAAAAGTGTAATGGATGAATTTGGAATCAGTAAATCAACATTTTATGACATTAAAAAGAATAAGAAATTGATTTTGGACTTTGTACTGAAGCAGGACATGCCATTAGTTGGGGCTGAGAAAAGAAAGAGGACAACAGGAGCCAAATATGGCGATGTGGATGATGCAGTCTACATGTGGTACCAACAGAAACGCTCAGCTGGTGTGCCTGTTAGAGGTGTGGAACTTCAGTCTGCTGCAGAGAGGTTTGCACAGTGTTTTGGGCGAACAGACTTCAAAGCTAGTACTGGTTGGCTTTTTCGATTTCGAAATAGGCATGCAATTGGGAACCGAAAAGTATGTGCCGAACAAGTCCTAAGTTCAGTTTCAGAAAATGTTGAGCCATTTCGACAAAAACTGTCCATGCTTATCAAAGAGGAGAAACTGTGTCTAGCTCAGCTATACAGTGGAGGTGAGACTGACCTCTTTTGGAAGTCAATGCCAGAAAACACTCAGGCAAGCAGAAAAGATATCTGCCTGCCAGGGAGGAAAATAAACAAAGAGTGCTTGTCTGCTCTTTTATGTGCAAATGCAGATGGAACTCATAAGTTAAAGTCTATCATTATTGGAAAATCAAAGCTGCCCAAAAGTGTAAAAGAAGACACAAGTACATTACCTGTGATATATAAACCTAGTAAAGATGTTTGGTTCACCAGAGAATTGTTTTCAGAATGGTTCTTTCAAAATTTTGTTCCTGAGGTCAGGCATTTTCAGCTTAATGTTCTAAGATTCCATGAAGATGACGTCAGGGCCTTGTTACTTCTGGACAGTTCCCCAGTTCACCCTTCTGCTGAATCGCTAATAAGTGAAGATGGTCGAATAAAATGCATGTTCTTTCCCCATAACACTTCAACCTTAATTCAGCCAATGAATCAAGGCGTGATCTTAAGCTGCAAACGACTTTATAGGTGGAAGCAACTTGAAGAGAGTCTTGTAATTTTTGAAGAAAGTGATGATGAGCAAGATAAAGGGGAAAGGGGAGTTTCCAAGATTAAAATCTACAACATAAAAAGTGCAATTTTTAACTGGGCAAAGAGTTGGGATGAAGTAAAACAAATAACTATAGCAAATGCATGGGAAAATCTTCTTTACAAAAAGGAATCTGAATATGATCTTCAAGGATTAGAAGATGGGGATTATGGACAAATTCTTGAGAAATGTGGGGAGTTGGAAACCAAGCTGGATGGTGATAGTGTGTGGTTAAATGGAGATGATGAACAGGGTAGTCCCCCAAAATCAAAAGGTGGGATTACAAAGAAACTTGTTCAGAAAGGAAAAGGGATGGAGAAGCAGACTGCTGAATTTAAGTTATCTGCTGTAAGAAAGAGTTTGGACTACCTTCTTGACTTTGTTGATGTCACACCTGAGTATCAAAGGTTCCATTTCACACTGAAAGAGATGCAACAAGAAATAATCAAGAAACAGTTCCAGAGCAGAGTTCATTCTAGAATTGGTAGCTTTTTGAAACCTAGGCTTCATAATATTAAGGATTCCTTCAGTATGCCTTCAACTTCTGGTTCTAGTAATTAGATTTTATGCTTAAAGATTTCTGCAGTTATATGATGTAGACCTATTGTGAACTGTCATTGTTTTTATCAGCTGACCTCATTTTGCATATCAATGCCCATTTATATATTAATAAAAATATGATTTGTAAACAATAAGTTTCTTTAAATGCATAAGTGTATCATATTTTTCTATTTTAGACCAGGATCTGAATAATGAGGAACTACTGTCCCAGATTATCTAAGATGAACTGGATGTGGGAAAAGCATTAAATTCTACCTTAATGTATTCACAGCACATAACAAAACTATATTCTGACTAGTTCTAGTTACCTTTAAGAAGGTAAGGATTTGGTTTTCAGTTTAATAGTATGACATGCTCTGCTTTCTTAAATCTGTTACCATCTATTTAGTGTTTGTTTTCCTCTTATTGTGGAAATAACATGCTGATGATATATATGTGTGTATATATAGAGATAAAAAGCACTCAAATTCTATTGACCAATAATAGTGTCTCTTAACGCTAAAGTATTTTGAAAGTAGGCAGATTACACTGTAAATACAATTTTATATCTTACTGTCAACATATTTTAGGCTTTGGTATTAAGAAGAATACCAAATGGGGTAGAATGGATTTGTGGAAGATCTTGAAGGAGATGTTAAGATGAGCATACTGGACAGCTCTAGAGTTCCTTTTGAGTCTCTATCAAATATCTTATTCTGGCAATAAACTCCCAGAATAAATGACCGCCAGTCATAACCTTTTCAAAAGTATCACTTTATTCTGGAAACTTCATATCGCCCTTCCATGCCAGGCACAGAGCATGGCATTGGGCATTTAGGCCTGAATTATAAAGATTACGAATAGGAACAAACCACTGCTGGATATGTAAGAGCTGAGCATAGAAAGGGCTTTGAGAGTGCTTGGATAGCAGAAGTATCTGAAAGGGTCATGTGTGACTTTTGAGTTGGGCTTTAAAATTTAGTGGGGTGGGAGGACGGAATGGGCAGTCTGGACAAAGGGAAATGTGAGTACAGTTTCTTCGGTGTGAGAGTGCATCTCCCTGGGAAGCTGCTAGGTCCCTGGATATTTGCTATAGGAGCAGCTGGCAGGAAAGACAGGCCAGGGCCAAATTTTCAATGCCCTTCGGGATCATGCTAGGACTTAAGACCTAGGACTGGGCCCACGTAAAGTCCTGTCGCCTCTGCCTCCTGAATGTCTCATCTACAGTGTCCACATTGTTCGCGTCCTGGCCCAGACTGCCATCACATCATGCCTGGACAACTGCACCTCTTTAGTGTCCCTGCCTTCCTTTCCTGTCCTCTTCCCATCCTTTCCCCACCCTGTAGCCACTGCGAACTGAAACAAAAATGAGATGACTCTCCGACTTAGGGGCCCTGAGACGCCCCCTTCCCGGTACCCATCCCCACACAGCTCTACGCTCACCTCTTGCTGGATGGAGAGAGCCTGCCCAGACGCCCAGCCCCGCTGTTGGCCCCGGGCTGACGCACGCGCACCCGAGGGACGGGAGGATTAGGAGAGCGCTGTCACGCCGCCAGTATCTGCTCTGGCGGACTGAGAAGGAAGCCCTACGGCTAAGTGGCCAGGCTCAGCCTTGGTAGTTGGAGTCTGCGGGGAGCATGCAGCCAGGCATGGCCATAGAGCTACAGCCGGCGGGCCAGAGCGCCTGGGGTGGGCGGGGTCTCGGATGGAGCGCGGGCCTCGAAGGAAGGAAGCCGCCCATGTAGCCGTGGAGTGGTGGCCAGAGGGGCGGGGTGTCTACGCAGGATCGCATTCTCTGGGAACAGCGCTGGTGGCTGGTGGCGGGTAGGCGTTAGGGGAAGTACTGCTGAGAGCGGAGGGCGGGTGCAGAGGCAGCCCCGAGGCCCTGGGCGGAGGGCGTGGAAAGCGTTGTCAGGAGGCTCTGTCAGCCCCTTGTTCTTTTGGGGGTCCTCTCGAGAGTTGTCTCCAGTGAGATCAATCCAATGGGGTATGCGGGCGGATCTAGGGAAGCGGCTCCCTGTCCACGATGCCCGCGGAAGGCTAAGCTGCGAGAGCCACAGACTTGTTCGCTTTGCTGCAGCTTGAGAAAGGGCTTAAATCTTTGGTTCTGGAAATCATTCCTGAGGACTACAGTTCTTCCGAGAAACCCCAATGGCTGGGGCAGGATTCCTAAACGTTAAGCTGGAGCCCCTCCCAGGGGAGCGGGGAATCCGCTCAAGGGTAGCTTCACTTTCGGAGTGGAAACCACACCCAGGTTCTAGAGCGTTTTCCTACCTTGAGGGGAATTGGGGATGGAGACCGCAAACGCAGTTCCTCATTATGTCTAAAACATACCTCAAGATTTCAGAAATAAACCCCACCCTTTCTGTCTAGGGAAATCTTAACATCTTCCTGGGTCAAGTTTGGATCCTGGTTTCACGTGACTGAAGCTTCTGGGACATTCAAGGTGTCTCAGTGATGAATTGAGGGCATTAACTGGAAGATTTCAGAATTTTTTGTGGTCATTTTTCATCAACGATTTTGTTATTGTTGAATTTACTTAGATCATTCCCACTGCCTAACTGCGCATCAGTCAGGCAAGACTTAGACCTTCTTAGTAAAAATTACATAAAAATTATCAGTCTCCCTTTCAAGAATGAAAATCAAGTTTAAATTAGAAGTGCTTGCAAACTAGATTGAAGGATAAAAGAAATGCTTCTAATAAATGCACTTTTACTTTCATTCATCTTACTGTTCTTGAGCTCATGACAGGAAGTCTCCTACTGCTAATAAATTTGTTAGTTGGTTTCCTGTAACACACATTAATAAGACCTTTTACATGACTTCATTCTTTCATATGCTTGTGAAACATTTACAAGTTACAATGTGTTCCTGGCTGGCCAGCCAGCTTAAATTAAAGCAGTGGTGATTTTGACTTCCAAACTTCTATCAGTTGATAATGTAATAATTCAACAGTAAATTTCCGATTATGATGTTGAGACCCATAAATTCATTATTGCAGTAAAAAGTGATTTCTGATGGGTTTTTCTGGGGGGGAAAATAAACAATGTAGTGCTTGTTTTAGCACTTTTTCCAGTCTCTGGTGCTACAGGCCTTGTCCTTATTTCTGTCTCTGCTTTTTCAGTCTACCTCTAACAGGCTTTTTCACATTGCTTAAATGTACTACTGATTCTCCACTCAGCCTTTCTTCTGGTCTCCTGTGTTACATTTGCTACAAGGATGTGTGGCTATTGCTCAGGGTCAGGCCACATCTCCCAGATCTCTTTGTGCCCATTTGGACCGAGGGGGCAGGGGTCTTTATCATTCTCCCTCTGACATAAAAGCCAACGGGAATCTGTTATGGTTTCTTTTTACAAAGGGACTAGAAGGTGAAAAGTATAATGTGAAAAAGTATGTGTGTAATGTAGAAATATGAATGTAAAAAAGTATACACTTGGCCATCCCTTGCAGTGGCCTCACGGGAGCCTACAGTGAGGGCCTCTGACCTGTATGTATGACTACAAGGAAAGATGGCATCAATCCTGCCTGTCAATAGCAGACAGAAGTTCCTGCTAGTGTGGTCTTATATTGATCTCAGTACCAGGTGCTTGGAAGAAAATCTTGCTAGTATTATCTGCCCAGAGATGGCACAAATAGATGAGTACTTTCTCTGTGCCAGGCTCTTGTTCTAAATGTTTAAGTATCTGAAATTTGCTAGAAAGGGAGCTAGACTGGGGACTAGGTGGAGGCTCCTATTTGAAAGTCTTTTTCGTGCTAAGAGCAAATACCTGGGGGTCCTTGTTGCTCTAAGCCTCAAGCTGCAATGCTCCAAGTAGGAACATCAACAGCTTCTGGCCCACATCATAAAATCTACATGGGTGATATTACTGGGGGAGGGAGGAAGGAGAGTGGAGGGGGGCTTTCCATTCTAGTGAGATTAGCAATGCACATAGGTTGCCTATGTGCATTAAAATGTTAACCTGATACCACCCACCCATTTTATGGCACCAACAGCCACATCACCTCTGTCCTGCCCCTACCACTGTGGCTGCTACATTAATCTTTCTCAAATCCCATCCCCTTTCCCCCGCACTACCACTGCCCTCTTGTGGATAAGAGAAAGGAAATGAGAAGGTTAAAAAGATTTTTAAAAATTGGCTCAGAAAACCAAGGAGAAACTCAAACTGAGGCAGGGCTGAGACAAGACTGATAAGGGGTGAAGCATATAGGGTTGTTTCCTTCATTTAAAATTGCTATATTTGATAGCTGGTTGCCAATGGAATGTTTCATCTTCTCCTCCCAAAGAACAGCTAGATATTTTCCTGATGTTCTCCTGGCATCAGAATGTCCTACTTCTAGAATACTTCCTGGTATTCTACCTCTCCCACAGACACATACTCCTAGAATTCCTATTCTTGATTCCTCATTCTAAAATATAATGCTTTCCCCTAATAATTTTGCCCTCCCCACATATCTTCCCTCCAATAATGGGCAATAACTCAGTTCTCTCAGGACCATCTTTTCCTGGGACTCATTGCAAGACCAAAATATCCTGTCTTTGAATACCCAGATCTTCTTTCAGCTACTTCACAAGAAATAAACATTGTAAACAAAGAACCAAAGGCGCTTTTACTGCTGTATACCACAGAAGGAAAAAAAACCTCGGAGACCATTATAATATCACCCCAAGCAGCCACTGGGCTTGATCCTTTGTTACCACATAGTAGTCCCAGCCCGGAGCTAGCCAGTGCTACCACCTACCTACCTCAACCTATATGCTGCTACCATTGTTGGACCCTTCCAAACCAACCCAGTAAGACCACAAAGAGAAAGCAGGTCCTCCAACCTAAGCAGATAGGAGAAAGATCAACACTGGACGGCAGGACAAAGGCCCTCAATAAAGAGTCACACACTTTCATGTTTCCTTAAGATATTTATTACTATCCAAACATATTTCCAACAGGGAAAGGCATGATTCCTAATTTCCTTAAGATCCACATTTTCAAAGTCTCCCAGGGAACCCATCTAACATGGAACTCCCTGAGGACTCCAGAGCTATTTATCCTTCTCTGACAGAGGTTGGGGAAGTCTTGATCTCCGCAAAAGATAAGACTAATTCAGACTCTGGTTCCCTCTGCGATTTCCTAGGCTGACATAAAAATTCCATCTTACTATTTCCCTTAGGTCTCTGGGTCCTTTTTGTCTGAGGCAACATTTATATGCATGGCCTACCAATGGGCCCTCCTGTCAGGCCACTGAGGGGCACTGTGGAGGCTTCCCTATCAGGGCCTTCAGGAGAGCTACAACCCACCACTAGTCTTTCCTTGCCCTAATTCTGGTTTCCCAGGAGACTCAGTCTCTTCTTTGGCCTCAAGGGCCTCAGGAGTTCAAATGCTCCTGAATGTCCTAAGTAAGGAAGCAGTAACGGAAAATCAAATGGATTCCCAAGGTTGCTGGGAAAGATACTGGACGCAGTAAGGCATCCAAATTACAATTTTGTTAAACATACCAAGGAGGTAGGTGCACCCTGAGACAGAGGAGACTTCATAGAGAATTCTGCCCTAAGCAGGTTAACTCAAAAACTTGCCATCCTCACTAGTTCAAAAAGAATTCTTTTTTTTTTATGCTAATCCTTTGCTGCCTCTGCACCTCCTTTGCAATGACCCCCACACACTCCCACCCATTACTCTTTATAGTAATTACTTAAAAAAAAAAAAAAAAAAAAAAAAAAAAAAAAAAAAAAAAAAAAAAAAAAAAAAAAAAAAAAAAAACACATGATTTGGTGAGCTGGCAAGGAATACTAGCTCTCAACAACAGGACCCTCTGAATAGCACCTTATCTGGGGCAAAATGAAATCCCATTCTTTCTATCCAGTGTGAGTTCTCTGATGACTCATAAGGCGTGAACTCCGAGAAAAGCTTTCTCCACATTCGGAACATTTATAGGGTCTCTCTCCTGTATGGGTTCTCAGATGACGAATCCGATTGGAGCTGTGAGAGAAACGATCTCCACACTCATGACAGGTATAGGGTTTCTCTCCTGTGTGAATTCTCTGGTGCCTGATTAAGTTGGATCTATGAGAAAAGTTTTCCCCACAAAGAGTACACTTATATGGTTTTTCTCCTGTGTGCGTTCTCTGATGTCTGGTGAGGTGCATGCCCTGCCGGAAGCTTTTCCCACAAGTCAAACATTCAAAGAGTTTCTTCTCTGCCTTGTGGGTTCCATTTGTAAGAAAGGGGGTGCTGTCACTCATTGCTTCCCCACACTCGGAGAAGGGGTAAAGCCTTTCTTTTTCATGAGTTCTTTCATGTATGACAAGGTGAGAACTGCGAGAGAAACTTTTCCCACACTCAGCACACTTATAGGGTTTCTCTCCTGTGTGAATCCTCTTGTGCCTAAGGAGGTTGGAACTATGAGCAAAGATCTCCCCACACTCAGGGCACTTGTAGGGCTTTTCACCAGTGTGTGTTCTCTGGTGTCTGTGGAGGTTGGAGTTGCAAGAGAAGCTTTTTCCACATACTTTACATTGATAGGGCTTCTCACCTGTGTGGGTGCGCTGATGGCGAATCAGGTGGGTATTCTGACTGAAGCTTTTTCCACACACAAGGCATTTATGGGCCTCCTCTCCCAAGTGTGCTTTGTGTAGTGACAAGAAGTGTGGGTTGCCACCAAAGATTTCACTGCACTCCACACCCATACACAGTCTTTCTGCTGCATGTATTCTCTGATGCCTAATTAGATTTGAGTTGTTAGAGAAATTTTTGCCACACAAGGGACATAAATGGAGCCTCTTCAGCTGCAGTTGCTTTGGTGGCCCCATTTCTCTGCAACTTGCGGCCCCTAATACAGACTGCTCCATCCGATCCTCTGGGGGAGGCTCCCAATGCCTTTCTGCCCTGTCCCCAGGCCATCCCTGCTCAGGACTCCAGGGCACCTTCCCTACGGCCTGGCCAGGCAGCAGTGCCTGTGGATGGATGCTCTCAGGGGAAACGGACAAAGCACTTTCTTCTTGGTGCTCAAATTTCTCTTAGCAGAGTGAGAGAAAACAAACCTCTACATTATTTCTACCCCAGAGAAAAGGAAATCCTACATTTGTTACTACATGTAGGTCAGAAGTCCAGAAAGTCTGGTTTTATCTCGGTTTCCTGTCTTCCCCATACAGAGAAAGTGGTCTAGAGAGGCATCTGGATAAGAGGTATGACCATTGCTTAGGAATCAGACTCAGACCAGTCTTGAATTCCCTTGCAGTGGCCCCCATCTCCTTCTTCAACTGAGTCTCTGGCTTCTGCCTTTCAGAAATGGGTGGGATGGAGCAGGGCTGGGACTAGGGTAGGCAATGAGCCCAGGAGTGAATGCTTCCTTTCATTTTGCACCCTGGGTGCCTCACTTGCCTCACTAGGATGGAAGTGGGCATACAGGAAGCAATGTACCTCCCTGGCAGTGGTGATGGGCTAGCCCCACACCCAAATCCTTGAATGCTTCCCTCTCAACAGGGGGAGGCCAGCTAGACAGGTGGCTCATCTTCCTTACTTACCTGGAGCTTGGTTTCTGGGGCTCAGGCACTCCTTGCAACTCTGGACACTAGGATCCCATGGTTTTCCTCCTTGTTCCACCTGGGTGCTCAGGGGCTCCTGACTGGGAACCTGAGGCTCTATTCATAATGAAAGAAACAGATTTCTACATCATCACTTTCCTCCACTAAGCAGGGGAAACAAAGTTAGTCTTGTTCCCTGCCCTCAGTAGGTAGATATGGAGGGTGCAATAAGTCTGACAGCAATTAATTGTAATATACACTAACCTGTTCCCAGTGGTTACCTCTAGAGAAAGAAATTAGGGGAGATAATAGCTTTTTTCTTTTTACTCTTTTATGCTTTTTTTTTTTTTTTACAATGAGACTATACGCTTTTGTAATTAAAAAAATTCAACAAACATGATCAGATCTCACTCCAACTCCAGCAGACATGGACTTTACAACAGTTTAGCTCTAAGACTTGTGATCTGAACTTCTCTTCCTACTTAATGTACACTAAAAGAGCTGTGCTCAACTTAGGGCACCAAGCCACAGCACAGTGATGGGGAACCTGAAGAAAGTCCCAATGAAAGAAACCAAACCTAGCAGTGACCCCTTTGCAAAAATTAGTGCAAGTGAGCTAACAGCTATGTTTATGAAAATCTGGTGTATGAAAACAAAGTACAGTATGACTCTTCTACTGTGTGTGCCTCAATGTAGCCATAATTGTAATATATTCGTATCTTATGTTGTTTTAAAACTTCCAACTTTTTATTATGAGAATTTTCATACATAAAGTTGAAGGAATTAAACAATACTTCTACACTCTCCACCTAAATGCTATGTTATTGTACACTTTTCACCTAAAAAAACTGTTTTTATATTTCATAGGCCTCATTTTAAATCTCTGCATAACAGTTCAACAAACAGATGCATCTTAATTTATTCTTAATTTATTTAGTTCCAGTTTTGGACATATACATTCATTTCCGAATTTCCACAAGGCCTTCCCCGCTTCCTAAATTTTTAGGGGCTGGGATGGCTGCTAAGCTAGACTGTTAATGCCACTGCTCCTGAAATTTGTGTCTTTGGGAAAGGCCTAGAAATACTAATGAAGCATAGAAAACATAAGTGAGGTCAAGAATAAGCACTTCAAAATTGCAAGGCATCAATAACAGAGCTCTACTGCATCCTAGAACACTGAAAGTGTGTAATGTAGTGGGTGGGGGAGGGCAGTCACTGGACTTCATTTGTTCTGCTCTGGGAAGTCCATTATGACTCAGATTCCTTGCCTTCAGCTCTAGTAGCTGGGGCTCAACCATTCATCTAGCTCCAAGTGCCAAGTGTGCCACTGTGAAAATGTTTAACTGATGCTACTCCTGGAGATTTTAGACAAAAAGAGGTCTTTTGGAAAAACTGAGAACTTCCGTCCAGGAGGCAAGTGGCTAAGGGACAAGACCCTGGTCAGAAATGGCTCAGTCTTCATCCCTGGAAAAAAAGTCCTTACCCAATGAGTCCACATTCTCATAACTCTCCTGCACCGTGTCCCTGGAGAGGGCCCTCTTACTAGGATCCTGATGCCCCCACTCCTCCTGGGAGATGTACATAGCCACGTCCTCTAAGCTTTCAGGCAACTGAAACAGCACAAGATCTCCTTTAGCCCCTGAGGCACCAAGAACAATTCAACCAGAGTCATGAGTTAAAGGGGCAAAACCCAGGGGTGCCGAGGACACATTTCATAGGGAA